TCCTCCTCCTCCTCTTCCTCTTCCGTCACAGCAGCAGAAGAAGAAGGAGCACGACGAACCATCGGGCCCGCGGAACTTTCCAGAGCTGGGCGTGTCCTTACACTCTGCGATGAAGGTGTGCAGGTCGCTGACACACACCTGCTCCTGTGACTGCGCCTGCAGAGAGACAAAGACAAACACAGAAGAAACTACATAAAGTCTGCTAGTCCCATTCAAACACATTCACACACTGATGAAGAAGCAGCGGGAGCAACTTGGGGTTAAGTGTCTTGCCAAAGGACACATTGGACATGTGGCTGCAGGAGCTGGAGATCGAACCCCCGACCTTCCGGTTGAGAGCCACCGACTCTACCACTGAGCCACATAATGACTTCCAACAACAGCATTATGTGAAAGAGTATTAGAGAGCTGCTAGGATGCATGACAGCTGTGATTTGAGGAAAAAATCTGAACAAGTACAGATACAAAAATCCTATTCCCTTTTTAATAATAGAATACTTTTGTTTTAACTTACTTGAGACTTGAGACAATCCATGTGATCTGCAGAGTCCCTCTGCACCTTTAAGAAAAAGCTAAAGAGCCAGCTCTTTCATGAATACCTACTAACTTAATGATGATGGTCTCCATATTATTGATGATGATGATGGTAATGACGATGGTTTTTGTTTGATAACGATGACTTATAAGATGGTTTCTATACTGATTAGAGCTCTCAAGAACTGCCCTCAATGTTGTGCTTTGCCTCTGGTCACTTCCTGTCAGCACCTGTGTGTCCAATCAGACTCAAAGCTGATCGTTTGCTCTTACTCACATTGTTCCCTTTTTTTCTAGATCCTTGCTTGTGTTGTTCTTACTCTCCGATGTACGTCACTTTGGATAAAAGCGTCTGCGAAGTGAATTGTAGAATTGAATTGTAGACCGACTTCAGGTACTCCAACACTCCTCACACATGTCTGTGTACGCAGATTCAGTGCAATAGAGCGATGTGCAACACCTGTGAGTTACAGGCTCCAGAGCGACGGGGCCTTTACATGATATTTACCTCATAATCATGTGCACCGCTGCAGCACTTCTGCACTTTACATCTCACAGCAGCACTTTAAAGCACTTTAACTCTGAAGGTCACTTCATCCTGCTTTGTTTTGAACACTTGTATAATTGAGTCAGCTAATGGGCACGAGGAGGTTTGGAAGCATTTGAATGCGCACTGCATCAAAACAAAAAAGAGTAACAGAGAGAGAGAGAGAGACAGCGTACCATGATGGTGTCGTAGGCTCCAGTGATGAGCGCGATGAAGAGGGACAGCACCATGTAGATGAAGAGGGAGCTGAAGCTGTAGAGGTACACCTGGCTGAAGATAAACACCATCGTGCCGCTGTGCTCCATCTCAGAGAACGTCACAAACATGTCGTCTCCGTTGATCAGAGAGAACAGACACTCGGACACCATGGAGAGGGAGCGGAACTGTGGAGGGAAACAAGAGAGCACAGCAGCACAAGGTGAGACTGACGGCGTGCACTGATCGCAGGGGAATAAACGTCACCTCCCCCCGTCCCACGCTTATATGAACTATGACAAGAACCGGCCCTGACTAAACATCCTGCCTAAAGTTTGACTTTTCTTTTATGAATCTGTCTCCTGTGAGTCTGCAGACTGTGAATAGTACTACTTTGTTGTAGAATCACTGCAGACTCCTCACACCCCGGACACAAACTTTTCAAACTCCTCCCCTCTGGCAGACGTTACAGAACGCTGTACGCAAAAACAACCCGTCATAAGAACAGTTTCTTCCCTCAGGCTGTCACTCTGATGAACGCTAAACAGTCACAGAGTGTCAGACCTGTCGCGGTGAAATGACTCTAAACCAACCGTCACTGTGAATATACATATATATATATATTTCATATTATTTAAATCAAATGATCAATACACACACACTTATTTATGTAAATACTGTAATTGATATCTTCATTGACTCATCTGTCACATAACTGCATTTTACTTCTCATGTTACTTCAGCATCTTTTGCACTATTCACCACTGCACTGTTTCATATTTAGTCATGTAAATATTAATCTTTTCTTATCATGTTTATTGTTGATATTTAATGTTGTACCTGTTCATAAGAGAGCACAGTTCACTGACGTTAAATTCCTTGTGTGTGTAAGCAAACCTGGTCAATAAATCTGATTCTGATTGTAACACTAAATCATCACCCTGCCCCTTTACTTTGCAGCAGAGATTTAAACTGCACACTTCTGCATGGATATCTCTTCAAATGAACTTATTAAATGTATTTTAGAAGTCACAGGTTGTCCGAGGTTTTTTTGCTTTTCTGAACTTTTATTTGCTTCTGTTTGTGAAGTTACATGAATTCATCCCGTCGTCAGTGCACGAGCGGAGCGAGCCCAAAACAAAACATCCTGATTTGATTCATATTTAATGAACGTCAATTTTCTTCATTTTTTATTCATGACTACAAAAAAGATTTTAAACGCTCGAGGGCGGTTTATGATAATCAGGCTGTTGTGACATAAGCTAGAGGTCAGAGTGTGTGTGTGTGTGTGTGTGTGTGTGTGTGTGTGCAGTACCTTTGTATGATACGGCCCCAGCACGATCCATCCACAGAAGCAATATCCCAAATAAATAGCAGCTGCACAGAGAGAGAAGCGGATGACGTTGGGAAAAGCAGCTCTGAGGGTCACGATGAGGATCTGTGGAATAAAAAACAGACGACCAAATTAAAATCACATCCCTCCAAATAACATCTTCTCTGAGTGTGTGTGTGTGTGTGTTTGTGTGTGTGTGAGTTTGCATGAGATTCCACCAACGTTGTATTTCTGGAAGAAGCTGAGGTAGCGGATGACCCCCACCCACACCAGCAGGGTGGAGGTCCCCAGCAGGATGCCACAGATGTCGTATGATGATATATTCTGCAACAAAAAACAGCAAAACTGGTAAAAAAAAAACCCGTCTGACTAACAGGACGGGTTCCACATGAGATGGGGAGGGGGGGGATCATGTTCCTGCGACCTCAGTCTCACCTTGGACTCGATGCCGATTTTGATGAAGCTGCCGATGATGGTGAACATGTCGCTGACGATGAGCAGGATGTACCAGCCGTTGATGAACTCCATGCGCTCCCCCCAGCTCACACCGCGCTCCAATCTGTGTTTGAAAAACTGCACGTACTCCTGGAAGACGGTCAACAGGAAGAAGAGAACACACGTTTAACCTGTTGGTTCACAAACTTTTTCTGAGCGGCCAAACTCGGCCTTGGTCTCGAGACCACTTTTGGAAGGTCTTAGTCCCGTCTCGGAATGGAAAGCATTTTTACTCGGCCTTGTCTCGATCTCAGATTGAACTCAAGATAATGATTTTATGGTGAAATTTATGGTCTTGGTCTTGACTCAGTCTGGATCCCTAAATGTCTCGGTCTCGCTGCACAACACTACCTCAGTCCCTCCTCACAACAGGAAAACATAAAGTCCGGTGTTCTGTTCTTACGTTCTGCAGCACGACGCCTCTGACGATGGAGCGACCGCACAGCAGCAGGGACAGCAGACACACGATCGCCACCACCACGTCAAAAAACTCCCGGGCGTAATTCTCCGCTGTGGCAGGAGAGAAAAAAACAACATGGAGATATTATTGTAAAGTATCTATCGTGTTGCAAAATCCAAATGTGTAAAATGTCAACTGGCTGTCAGTTTAAAAGTGAATCTTGGCGTTTAAGATCCACAAACGTGTAGCGAGGGTTCGTTTGCCCTGAGCTCAGACTCACAGGCTTACCTGCCAAATGACCTCGCTGGTGACTTGTCTTTTCATTAAGGATGACTTTAATCAAAGCAGCACCCCACAGGGTTTAACTACCTAACAGTGTTGATCGTTAGAGTGATTGATTGATTTACACATTTGCAGTTTTTCAACAATAATAGCATCACAGAAGCAGCGGACAGGATTGAGCTCATATTAAAGGTAAGATGAGTGAATGTCTCGTTTCCTCACCGTGTCCTTTCACGTTGGGGTCTCTACACTCCTTTATGGTCGCCTTGTTCATCAGACTGATCTTCACTTTGCCGCTGTGAGCTCTGTTGTCCATGAGGATCTGTGACACACACACACACACACACACACACACACACACACACACACACACACACACACACACACACACACACACACACACACACACACACACACACACACACACACACACACACACACACACACACACACACACACACACACACACACACACACACACACACACACACACACAGGGAGTCAGGAGTAGGGAGTAGGGAGTCATGACTCAGGAGTAGGGAGTAAGGAGTCAGGAGTCATGACTCAGGAGTAGGGAGTCAGGAGTAGGGAGTCAGGAGTCATGACTCAGGAGTAGGGAGTCAGGAGTAGGGAGTCAGGAGTAGGGAGTCAGGAGTCAGGAGTAGGGAGTAGGGAGTAGGGAGTAGGGAGTAGGAGTCATGACTCAGGAGTCAGGAGTCAGGACTCAGGAGTCAGGAGTCAGGAGTCAGGAGTCAGGAGTCGGGAGAAGGAGTCATGACTCAGGAGTCAGGAGTCAGGAGTCAGGAGTCAGGAGTAGGGAGTAGGAGTCATGACTCAGGAGTCAGGAGTCAGGAGTCAGGAGTCAGGAGTCAGGAGTCAGGACTCCATCAGTCTGCCTCTAACTCTCCTCCTGACTGTCTTTTGATCATTTTAACAAACATCCTGATGGGATGAGGACAGCGCTCTAACTGCTCTGAGGTCTGTTCATTAAATAAAAACAGAAGAGGGGATAGTTCACCGTGATAGCGAAGGTGTAGCAGTCGGGGATCTCGTTGTTTATGATGGTCTGGATGTTGATCGCTTTCAGCTGGAAGTCGATCGTCACATTGATCAGCCTGGAGACAAAAACACAAAAGAATTTAATGAGAATAATTAACACTGAGAATTAAAAATGACACTTTTCTGATTTTGAATGTGGAAAAAAAAGAAGTATCATCTGACTTGTAGAACTTGAGGGTGAAGTTCTTGTAGTCATGGATTCCTGCAGCAGAGCTGTCGTTAAGCGGGTTTATTCCAAAACATTCTGGAAACACATCAGAAGAAAATAGAATTAGAGGAAGTCACGAGGGCGTTTTAAAAAAAGCACACTAAACCTTTTTTCCACATCATGTGAAGGAGAAACTGCACTCCTACTGCACACTTCCTCAAAGACTCAGACTGACCCACATCAGTGAGTTGTATTTGTCTCACTTCGTTGTCATGCTTTGCAAACACAGGCTCTTCTTGGAGCCATTTTTATCATGATGCTGGAGCATCTCTGCTGGGCTTCATGTTTCATGTTGTACGTACTTATGCACTTGATGTTTGGATGATTTATTAGTGTTGTTTATGTATTGGTATGTCTCCAGCTGCAAACAAATTTCCCTGTGGGGACAATAAAGATACCTTTGACCTTTGAGCGATACTACTAGTGTTGTAGTCAAGACCAGACTAACTGAGACCAGAGGAAGAGGAAGAGGAGAAAGAGGCGTTTTTCTACTAATTATAGTAATCATGTGGAAAAATAGCTTCTCAGTGGTGGTCTTGACCGGTCTTGATTTAAAATCTGGAGTCCGCCCAGTCGGAGACTGAGACAAGACTGAGTTCCAAGATGAGGCTGAGACCTTCAAAAAGTGCCCCAAATCCTGCAAAAACTGCTCTGCAGGTTTCACACACTGACGACATGAGAGGAGAACATGAGGAGAATATTGGATCACTAAAATTTACCCGCCCATGTCTGATGTTCGGGGCAGTCAGGAAGCAGCCAGTGTCGAAATATGACACACGCTATTTCCAGCTTTTAAAAAGTAGGGCACGGTTGCCGGGGCGCTTCTTGACATATTTGGAGCAGGAACACGATGACTCACTGACACGACCACATCCTGAAGGGACGGGCTGCTGGTTGATAAACGGTCGTCTTACCGGTCATGACGTGGGGGTCGATATCGAAGGTGTCGTTGACGGGGTCGATGGTTCCCTTCCTGAAGTACCTCTGGCAGAGGGAGAGAGCGCTGTTGTTTGCACTGGCGCCCAAAACATAGGCGTAACGACCCAGAGAGATCTGAGGGAGAGCCAGGTACTGAGGGGGAAGAGAGGAGAAAATATGACTACATCTTAGAAGGATGAAATGTCAAAGTCGAGGCAATAATACATTATCTTTAAAGTTTGTTTAAAGGGGACATATTATGAAAACTTCTTCAGTGTTTCTGAACATTTATCTGTGTAACCTGAGAGTCTACTGACCCACAACATGTGAAATAAACCCATCCAGTCCTTTGTTTGTGGTCTGCATAAGTCTTACAACACAGAAGAAAATGCTCTGTTTCAAATGTGCTCTCCTTGTGATGTCACAGTGGGATTCTGGTAAAAAAAAAAAAAAACCCTCCCCTCCGCTGATATCTCCACCCATGGACTCCACCCCCAGACTAGAGCAAAACTTTTGCACAGGTCGGCCATTTTTATTCTCACTACAGAGGAGTGATGTCTACTGGGAAAACTCAGGGGGGGGTCATTACATTTAAAGAGACACACACACCAAAACGGAGCGTTCTGAGAGAGCTGGTTCATACAGGGTCACAAACCTCCTCTGGTGTTTGATTCATGTTATATTTTGACCAAAGCTCAGCACAGATGTTTCATTTAGACCACAGGGGACTGTTTGAAAAGGTGGAGGAGGGGACTGTTTGAAAAGGTGGAGGAGGACTGTTTGAAAAGGTGGAGGAGGACTGTTTGAAAAGGTGGAGGAGGACTGTTTGAAAAGGTGGAGGGGGACTGTTTGAAAAGGTGGAGAAGGACTGTTTGAAAAGGTGGAGGAGGGGACTGTTTGAAAAGGTGGAGGAGGACTGTTTGAAAAGGTGGAGGAGGAGGACTGTTTGAAAGGTGGAGAAGGAGGACTGTTTGAAAAGGTGGAGGAGGGGACTGTTTGAAAAGGTGGAGGAGGACTGTTTGAAAAGGTGGAGGAGGAGGACTGTTTGAAAGGTGGAGAAGGAGGACTGTTTGAAAAGGTGGAGGAGGACTGTTTGAAAAGGTGGAGGAGGGGGATGATATGTCTTCTTTAAGTTGCACCAAAATCCAAACAAAGACCGTCAGAGAAATCAAACAAAGATATCTGTGAGTCTAAATCCTGCAGGGGCTCGTTGAGGTTATTCATGGAGGTGTACCTGCTCGATGGCGAAGTGGATGTGGCTGTAGATGTCCTTCTGCGTGTGCACGGCCTGAGGAAGGTTGTCCTGGAAACCTTTAAGGAAAAGATGTTTGAAAGCAGCCGTGTTCTCCTCTTTGAACGTCACCACCATCTGGTTACTCAGACCGAACAGCACCAACTGAAAGGCAGAGTCAGTTTATACAACCAGGAACTTATATATAAAAAAGAGTAGTTACAACATTAACTAACATGCAATAACATTATAAACAATATCAAATCTGTTCCCTACCTGCACGGTCACGATGATGATTTTGAGCAGCTGCAGGCCCAGTTTGAAAGGTTTGCGTCCCTTGGCGTGATATTTGTCACAAGGGCTCATGAAGAAATATTTCAGCTTCCTCCTCAGCGCCTCCTCCTCCATCGCCTCCATGTCCTGATTCACCAAGACGGTGGGACGAGGCTTCACCTGAACATCACCGGAGCTGTAACCTTGATCAGCAGAGAGGAGCCGATCCTTCTCTGGAAATGTAAAGAAAGAAAAAAACAAGATTAAAGAGAAGAAATGAAAAGTAGTAATAAGATGTCAATGAGGCACTTTAGCAGAGCACTTTGATCAATACTCTGACCGTCACCTCACACACAGCTCGTCTGAGCAGCTGTCTGTGTTGTTGGAATAAAAGAAGAATAAAACTTATTCTGCTCCACATTTTACTGGGGAGATTTCACAACAAACGTCTGCCTGCCTGCCTTAACTCAAAAGCACTCTGGAGTGAAGTTCAAGTTCAAGTTATCTTTATTAGTCAAGTGCACAACATAACAGGCAAAGCAGTCATAGCTGGCAATGAAATGTTTGTGTTCCAAGCTCTCCTTAACAACGCAAAAATAAAAAATAGTATAGAAGATAAGAGTAAAAAGAGTAACAACATACAGTGCAATTAAGAACCAAAAGTTTAAATAAAACTAGAATATATGTACAGTATATATATATATATATATATATATATATATATATATAAATAACACAATATAACAATAAAGTAAAGTGAAAGTTTTGTCAGGCAGCTGCTCTCCCCTCTTTACAGAACTTTGTACCACCATTGAATCTTTTAGTACCAGCCTTCTTTCCGCCCTGTTTATTTATAATTGTCAAATAACTTCTCTGTGTTTTTGTTTTGTTTTGTTGGGGAGATATTTTAGTTTGTAGTTAATTTTGCTAAGCATTAACAAACATCTGCAGCTTTAAATGTCCAGAATAATAGCTTTCAAACTTACAAAAATATGACTTTCATAATAACAAGTGGGTAAATATGTCCAAGTTGAATCCCTCTCAGCCTTAAATTACATTTTTCTCTAAAGCTTTTTTTAGGGCACAGGTATCTTGTTTTCTGCAGCGCTCCTTAAACCTTGAATTTACCTGTTTGTGTAAATCTGTCTGCTAAATATTTAAATGAGCTATTTGAGCTAATGTTGATTTAAATCAAACATTTTTCAGTGGTTAAAATGGAAAGCAGCAAGAACAATCTCTTCAACATTGATATAAAAAAAATGTCCTTTAAGATCCGGTGTTATGATTGAAAAAGTGACCGTGTTAACTGGTGACTTTCCGCCGAATGTGTCTGTGGGTTGTCGTAGAAGACAGGAGTGTCCAAACTAAATGATTCCTCTTTTTTTTAGATTGTCATGAATTACGTTCCTAACACGGGGTTTTGACATTATAATAAAAACAAAACAAAGAGACTTTCGTTCAGAGTTAGGACACTTCCGTCTTCAACCTCCTGCACCACAACAACCTCAGACGAATTCGGCTGGAAGTCACAAGTTAACACGGTCACTATTTAAACCGTAACACCTGCATTCTGTAAATCACAACCCGGCATAATGAGTGAACAGTAACGGGAGCAAACAGCAGAAATACATGAACCTGTTAGAGATGAACACAACCAGAGAGAGAAGCAGAGTCTGAGAGGCGACACGGTGCAGTAAAAACATTAAAACATGTTTTGATTGACAAACCTGTGGCGCTGTCCTCCATGTATCCTGAATGCGACATGGTGATGCGTTCACTGCCACGCTGAAATGATGTGACCGGACATGATCGGTGCTAATGTCGATCGGTCGGTGAGCGAATTAATCTCCTTAATGTTCGTTTAATCACATTTAAAAAAGGTAGATGGGTGTCACACTGAATGGATGACACACAAGGTAAACAGACCGCAACTTCCTGGTCACCACGTGACTGCATCACGTGATTCATCATGTCTTTGCTGCAGATGGGAGAAGATGATTAAAGATGGTTAAGATGTGAATGTTTGGGATTTGAAATGATTCAGATTCACGAAGTAGATTGATTTTAACACTCTTTTATTCCAGATTAACACATTATCAGTCACACAAAGTAATTTTAATTTAATTATCTTTAAACGGAGGAAGACTTTACAGGTGAGGATGACATCAGAAATAAGCTTAAAAACGACAGGAGGAAGATTTTGTTCCCCATTGCACTGTTGAGAAATGTTGAAATGAAGTTGAAATGCAATTTTGAGAACAAAGTTGAAATATCAAGATAAAAGAAGGCGAGATGTTGAGAATAATGGCAAAGTATAAATTTGAGAATAAAGATAAAATGTTGAGAATAAAGTCGAAATTTGGGGGTCAGGGGGGTTGAAAAAATATCGAAATATCGAGATTTAAATGGAGAATTAATTCCAGAAAGTTATAATTGTTGCTGTTTTTTTAACTCCTCTTTCCTGGTAAATGATACAAGATCACAAAAGACATTTTTTTTTAATTGCAATTGGAAATATAAAGTGTTTTGAATTATATTGAATTTAATTTTAAAATAGGAGACACCTTTGTCACAACAATCTTCATTTTCTAAAGTGCGTTGATTGAAGAGTTGATAAAAAGTCGAATGCTGATAATAAAGTTCAAATATAATTTCATGAAGTCAAAAAGCTCTTTATTATTAATCAGACCGATGGGTTTCAGTGTGTGACCTTCACCAGGGTCGTCAGTTTCTCAGTCTACTTTGTTTGTCATTTAAATTTCAGTTAAATATCATATCGTCCTGGTATCGGCTCCGTATCGGCTCCGTATCGGCTCCGTATCGTACGACCTCCCAGTTCAAGTCTCAGAATAAATCACAAAGAAAAACACAGTTTCTGAACATCTCATTGTGTATCTTTTTATTTACCCTTTTGCTTTATCAACTCTTTGTAAACATACACATTAAATAAAACAACAACAATATAACAAAATACACTTTGAGATGAAATGAGCCCCTGCTGGTGGTCAGCGGTAGCTACAGGTTATAAATCTTTTTTTTCACAGAGATTAAAACCAAACAGCGGGGGTTACGTTTGAATCAAAGATAAAAAGAGAGCTGATCGAATGAGTCTTTTTGTAAACGTAACATTTTCTAATGTTAGCGTTATCTCATAACTGATTATTATTTACAGTTTAGAAACGAGAGAAGCTCCAGTCAGTTCATCAGTCAATGATTTTGTGAAATAGAAACAACTAGCTGCAGGTTTTTTTTAAATCTAAAGCACGGTACACACTACAAGATAATCAGGACGATTTCTGGCCCGTTTCCCCATCTGAGCAAAGTCATCAAAGGACCCGATTATCTGTAGCTTAAAAGATGATGTCACCAGATGTTCCCGTGGTGTGAGGTGTGTTAAGAGTGACTTTAACCTCCCCGATCTGCCAGAAGACGATCAGGGCTGCCATGATTTCAAATTGTACATATCAAACGTGTTCAATATTTTACTGCTGTGCGGGGAGAACGAAGAGGACGGACGAGCGTAACCATGGCGACGACAGCAAGCACAAAAAATTGATGTGGATGTCTAGAACTGGACGAGCAACTTGTTGATTTGTGGAAACAACACAAAAGTTTATAAAACGTCTCCTGTAAAATAAACCACAAAGCAAACTGGACCACAATGTTTACCGTAATGGATGAACCAGCTAACAGCTAGCCACATTTAGCTCGACCACCATGTTGTTTCACTCCTAAGTGGCGTTTGAGCGCTCAGGTAACACCTTTTAAAAGTGGATACTCTGGTTGATGTGTGGTGTGCTGAGTCGCTCCCCTCACACTATGACAACTAAACTGTAACATCTGTCAGGATCTGTCGACGTGTGTGGACTCTGAGAATCTGTTAGTGTGTACCGGGCTTTAGTTCTGCGCCGTTATTCCTCCACAGAGTCTCATCAGTGACCTGGAAGAGGATTTCTCTTCATCTTTGTTTCTCGTCAGCCTCTTATCTCCCGTCCAGAGCTTTGTCTCTGGCTATGACCGACTCGTTGAACTTGATCATCAGCGTGGTGCCTTTGTGCCAGTGGGCCGTGACCTTGGCCGGGAAGCCGCTGTGCGTGAGGATGGCCTCCACGATGCCGCCGGTGAACGCCGCGCAGTTCAAGCTGCTGTTCTCTTTGGGCACGGAGATGTACGCGTTGATCAGCGGCTCCTTCTCGATGATGTAATAGGTCTTGTCGTCGTCGTTGGCCTGCTCCAGTTTGTCGGCCTCCTTCCCGAATAACGACTTCCAGACGTTGACCTGCAGGAGAGAAGAGACGCTGCGTTACAACAGTCCCTGAATGATGAACTAAGATGTTTAAAGGCGCTTTTAATTCCAAAAACACTGAACGCATCATTAGCAAACTATAGGGCTCTACAGCACCCCCTGCTGGAGGAAGCCTGGAACAGTTTAGGCAAACTATATAGAAATTATTTTTGGATATTGTCTGTATGTGAAGCCTTTGAGGAGAGGAGTGGACCATCTAACGCCGAGCGGTCCGGTTTGATTCAGTACGGTTTGATACAGTAAACCCTGATCTCATTTGTGTTTCCACAGCAAACCGTCCCCTTACGTGAGAGGAGGGTTGTAAGCGCAACATCAATGTAGCCCGCTAATAAATTCAACGAAGAAGAAAAACTCGACACAGAAAACAAAGGGCAACAAGGGAGGACGTCCAGCAGAGGTCTGAGGTCGTCCAAGGGGCGGAGCTACACGCTGAAATGATTTGCAAAAAAACAGAAAAAGCCTTGAAATGACTGTCTTGAAATCCAGCGTTTGGTGTTTGTCCTCTGAGAAGGCAAGTTTATTGATGTCGCACATTTCAACAACAAGGCGATTCAAAGTGATTCACACAAGACATGAAAAGCATCATAACAGAGGAAAGAAAAGAAAAGATTAAAATAGAACATTTAAAAATCACTGAAATTATTCAATCTGAAAATATGTTCAAATAAAATCAATTCAAATGAAATTAATTGAAATAAATAAAGTAAAAATATAAAAAGAGTTAAAAGTTACAGTGCAGAGTGAAAGTTTAAAATCTTATTAAAATTGTTTAATTAAAGGCAGCTGTAAGTGATGACTCTTTCGACCAATCAATGGACTGCAGTGTGTCTAGCTCCAGCTTTTAGGGTCGGATCGGTACACTTAGCCCCCCAACAGAATGTTAGCAAAAAAAGTATGACAGTGCAGATTGTTTATTTTGGTACCATGCTCAACTTTTGACACCAAAACACCAATAAATGCAAACGTACTGAACTGAACAGAACCAGACGCTTGGTGTAAACGGAGCTTTAATCTCAGAGATACCTCCCCTCATATCTGATTTCTGTTTCATTTGTTTGTTTTTTTTAATCTTGAGAGTCCGAAATGTGTCGGAAAAAAGCAGCACACACCTTCTGAAGATTTTTATGGATGCATGATTCCCCTCCCATTAAACTCTACATCAACAACTGAACTCAGCTCTGACAGTCTGGAGAAAACGACTTGTTAGGTCTGAATCTTTCACATGATGTTTCCACTTTTTCTCATTTACCTTGTTCTGTAATGTTGCAGCCCGTTCTGTTCTATTTTTAAAACCATAAACAAAAACAATAATAAATAGAAGAAGAACCCTCTGACTGAGCTGACCTTGATGAAGAGCAGCATGTTGAGCACTTTGGTCTCCCTCTTCCCGTTCTTCTCCCTCAGCACCAGCACGTCCAGCATGCTGGCTCCCACGCTCTGACCCATGTCGGCCAGACGAGTCTGCAGCTCGGACACGGAGTACACACGGCTCTGACAGTACTGCACCATCTCCGAGAACAGGAGGGCGAACGCGCTCACGCTGACCTCCGTCTTCGGTCTGGTTAACGGTCGCTCCAGGATGTTGGATTTCCCTCGAGTGAACCGCGTGTCCATTTTTGTGCTGGAGAGAGAGAGACGCAGGTTAGTATCTACTGACACACAGACAGAGATCACCTGTTCAAAACTAGCAGCTGTCACTTCACAGATTCAGACATAATCTGTGAATTATGTCCCCCCCATAATCCCCCCCCCCAACCCCCACATTTACCATCGTTCCTCATCAGTCTCTATGCACTGAAGGTAGAACATGCCCCCTACAGTTTAATCTGAGAAAACACTTTTAAAATAAACTCACTTTAAAGAGATGGAGATATGGAAACACTGGTGCAGTCGTATCCTCTGAGAGCATTTCATTTATGTAGCATGTTTATATCCTGTGCTTTGTATTTTTTGTTGTCTGTATTGTCTTATTCTGTATATATATATTTATTTCTCATTTACTGCACATAGTTCTGGTTACATCTGTTTACATCTGTTAGTCCGATCACTGTCCACTTATATCTACTCTTTTATATTTTGTATTTTTAAGTTAAGTTTAAGCTTTAAGTTGTATTTAAATTGACACTTTATATTTAGGTTAAAATGTTTCATCTACCTGCACTGTTGTTAATTTACTGCTCTGTGTGCCTTTGAATTGCCCCCCGGGGACAAATAAAGTTTTTTGAATTTGAATTTATCTGGACCCTGAGAGTGTAAAAAAGTTGTAATTGATTGACTGGAACCTGAATATTTATACAGTAGTAATTGCCAACACATTCATCACTGCTTCATTGAGAGATCAAGCCGTCGGGTTTTGCACATATCAAAATCAGCAAACAAACAAGAAGTGGGCGTCAGGGGGAGTCCTCTGGGATTTTCTTTTCCTTCTATTCTATATCTATTTTTATTAATATTATAGTTTTTATTTTATTTTTTTATTAATATTATAGTTTTTATTTTATTTTTTTATTAATATTATAGTTTTTATTTTATTTTTTTATTAATATTATAGTTTTTATTTTATTTTGATCCTTTTATTTATTTTTCTGCTCTTACCTTCTTATTGCTGTTATCTTTTGATTTACTT